GAGCAGAGTGCTCTCAACATGTCAGCTCCATCTGGCACATCTGGGTGCTTTCAACAGCTGTGCTCAGACTGAAATCAAAATCAGATCCTGACTTAAATGAAAAGGAACATAGGGATGTCTTCTCCCCGGTGGTGGATTCTGTCAGCATCCACACCTTGTTAGAGGTCCCCTTCACATCTGTGTGTTGGCTGTTTGGGTTGAAAGTACAGTGGCTGAGCAGATTCCCAGCTAAAAGGAGGTGTTCATTGAGAACTTATGGTTTTTCTTACACCACTTACAAAAGTTAACTCAGAATGAATCATACACCTAAATGTAAACATTGAAACTATAGAACTCATGGAAGAAAATATTTACTCTAAGAGTAAATGTTTATGACCTGGGGTTAGGCAAAACCTTCTTAGATATGACGCCAAAATCACAAGCAACCATAACAACGAAAAAATTGGACTTCATCAAAATTAAAAATTTCTGTGCTATGAAGGACACCATCAAGAGAGTGAAGAGGCAACACACAGAATGGGAGAACATACTTGCAAGTCTTATACCTGAAAAGGGACTTTTATCCAAAGTAGGTAGAGAACTCTTATAACTCAATACTAAAAAAGACAACCACTTTTTAAATTGGCCAGTGATTTGAACAAACTTACCGCCAAAGAAGATGTACAGCTGGCCCGTAGGTACATGAAGAGACACTCAACTTCATTAGTTGTCGGGGACGTACAAGTGAGAAACACAATGAGATGCCACTTCACACCCACCAGGATGGCCAGAATGAGAAAGAAATACCAAGTGTGGCGAGGCCGCATAGAGTGAGTTGGAAGGGCCCTTAGATACTGCTGAGTGGAATGGAACATGGTGCAGCTGCTTTGGAAAACAGTCTGGAAATTCCTCAAAATGTTCAACACAGAGTCACCGTATGACCCCGAACTTCCCCTTCTGGTCATACACCCAAAAGGAGTGAAAGCAAAAAGATATTTGCACACCCAAGTTCACAGTAGCATTACTCACCATACCGTAACCCGAAGATAGAAGCAACCCAGGTGGCCATCAGAGAATGAGCGGGTAAGCAGAATGCGGTTTATGCATACAATAGAGGTCACTTGGCCTTAAAAGGAATGAAAAACCTACATGTGCTACAACACAGATGAACCTTGGATGCAAAAATGAAAGCAGCCAGTCCCAAAGGACGACATATTGTCTGATTCCCTTCCTGTGAAATGTCCAGGACACACAAATCTGTTAAAATAGAAAGCAGATTTGTGGTTGCCTCGGGTTGAGGGGCAGAGGAGAAGTGGGCAGGGGCCACTAATGAGTACGGGGTTTCTTTTGGGAATGATGAAAATGTTCTAAAACTGGATCCTGATGACAGCTGCACAATTCTGTGACTTACTAAAAACCACTAAGTTGTGCACTATAAATGAGTGAGATGCGTGGTATGTGAACTGTATCTCAATAAGGCTATTTGAAAAGAGAATTTATGGTTTATCGAGTTACTACATTCATTCTTGTAAGTCAGCACTTGGCCGTCCTCTGCCGCTCAGAGGAGAGAGCTGCAGTCAGTAAGTACTTCGTGGCCGCATAGAGTGAGTTGGAAGTCAGATGCTTGGAGCACAAAGCAAGGCGCAGATGCAGGATTTACCTTCAAGGAGCGTCTGTTCAAATGAAGAAGTGAGGATCACAACAGGTGCGTAAGTAGCAAAAACAGAGCCCACTCGTAACCACCTGTGCCCCTCATCGTGCCCCTGAGGCCCTTCTCACCAGCTGCTCAGAAAACCAGCAGCGACGCCGGCTAGAGCTCAGAGCCAGTGGAGGACAGAGTGTCTGTTATACCCAGAGTAACATGTACATGTTTAAAATACTGCCCCTGCCTACCTCATGGGGCGCTTGTGTACATCACACATTGGAACAGCAAGTGTGCAAGTCCTTTGAAGTCAGAGAAAGCCATCGGGTTACTATTATTTTGCTTACTTTATATCTTTCCTCAAGTCTGTGGAAAGGCATGTTGAGAGAGGTTAGTTCGTTCAGTGACAGTTGTTGAATGCCTGCTGTGTGCAGGGACTGAGTGGGAGCGCCAGGCAAGGAAACACGAGTGACAGGCGCTGATGAAAATGCTCCGCTGGCGGGGGTACGGGGCGCTCACAGGGCATACTGCGGAGGGCACTTACCTTAGACGTGGGAGGCCAGGGAAGGTCCCCAGGAGAAGCACCGTCTAAGCCGAGTGAACCCGGCGAGCAGGGTGGGAGGCACGCTCAGGAGAGGCAGTCTGCCAGAGACACCCCTGGCCCTTTCCTGCACCTTACTTGTTGGTCTCCTTCACCGTCGCCCTGTGCAATAAAGTATGATCATCTCCATTTTACAGACTAGGAAACTGAGGCTCAGCGTTTAAAGGACAAGTAACTTTCAGAGCAAGAACACTTTCTCCCAAGCGCCGCTGCTCCTTCGAACGATACAAAACCATGTTTTATACCGTCTTTTTTCTGAGTACAGAAACACTTACACGTGATCGTTGTTGAAAAATTAGAAAAAATATTTTAAAAATTGTTTAATTATTCACGATCTGAGACTGCAGACAGGGTGGTATGTAGCTGCCTAGCCTCCAAATTGAATTGTGCTGGTTCAGAACCTGTTTTGCACAAAAATACATTAGTATTTCCCGTGTCACTTCACACTCTCCTATGTGATGACTAGTGGTTATCGTGTCCTCTCTCCGCCTTACAATTATGTGCCCAATCACATGGTGGAGCTTATGTGTGTTTCTCCAAATTTGTGTTATTATAACCAATTTTGTGATGAACATTTTTGTACGTCAATCATTGTCTCAATCTTTGATAACTTCTGTAGGCTAAGCTGTTAAAAGTGCAATTTCTGTGCCAAAGAGTATGCACATTTTAAGACCTGATTTAAATTCTCAGATTGTCTTTGGAAAAGCTGTAACCAATTATACTTTCACACTAGCGTGTGAGTGTTTTCCTGTTTGTTACAAATATTGTCTTTAAACTTGTCAACTTGCTATCACGTTCCTACTTTAGTTTCCATGTCTTTCCCTCTTGTTGAAGTTGGATTTTTCAGTGTGTTTATGATCACTATATTTAATGCCAATGGATGTGGTATTGATTTAGAAAGTGCACTGAGCCTTTAAAGGATGAAGCTGACTTTGCAGACTGGAGGTGACCTGTGGAGAATACTTTTTGCCAAACCTTGTGACTTCACTGCTGGGGAGGGATGGTTTAGGTGCCCCGTGAGTGGGAAAGTGGCAGGAAGGAGTTATTTCTTAGATCTGATGACTGTTTTTCTCCATGTAGGTTCTTAAAGGTGGACAGGAAGCGCCCACAAAACCCAAAGGTCGTCCCAAAAAGAACTCCATCCCCACATCAGAAGAGATCGAAGCTGAGGAGAAGCTGAACAGCCAGGCCCAGAGCCAGGAGCCCAGGGAGCCCTCCCAGGGCCAGGAGGGGATCTGTGACACGCAGGAACCGAAAGCACGCGGTGTCCCCTTAGAAGTGGCCGAGCCCCCCAGCCAGCCCCAGGAGTTGCCGGTAGCCTCTTCAGAACCCCCACCATCAAGCTAAGATAAAGCTCCTTTTGGGGAGAGGGGGACTGGGAAGAAGGGAAAGAGAGAAGGCAGGGAGAACGGGGGGAGGAAAGCTTCCGGGAGCTGGGTGGCCTGGGGGAGACGACACCGCCGGCTCCCGGCTTCCTCCCCACAGGTCTCTCCATGAGCATCTGGGGAAGACTTGCTCGCCTGAAAGGCGCTTTAGCCTCGGATGCCCCCGACTAAGGGAGACAGTGCCTTGGAACTGCCGGCCCCGGTTGGGGGGACGCCGCGGGGCCGCAGGGGTCCAAGCCCCCCGGCGCGGTGGAGGGTGCTGTCTGCTCTCCCCCTCCAGCCTCTGGGCAGCCGGTCGTCAAAGCGGAAAGAGACGGAGGCCTGGGCAGCACGCCCGGGTTCCTTGCTGACTCAGCACTTACTTCTGTCGTTTTCAAACAGAATTTAATGTTTTTGGTTGTTGTTGGCTTTTTTTTGGCAGTGGGAGGGTGGGGTTGGTGAGGGTGGGGAAATAGGATTTGGGGGAAGGGAGTTCTGAGTTAATAGAATAAAGTTTGTTTGTTTGAAGACACGCGTGCCTTTGTACCCATTATAAGATGGTCAGGTGACCCAAGAACTTGATAAACCTTGTTTTTCTTGCTTCATTAAGTTGCCATCCCTGAAGCTGCAATGCAGATACCTGCAATGTTAAGATGACTTTTATTTTTTAATTAAAAATAAATCTTTCAAAAGGACTGGGTGTGTTGTTTCTTCTGGGGAGAGTATTTAGCCCTTCTTGAATATGTCCTAAGGGAAGAGAGACCCAGAGATGGCCTAGCCCCCTGGGCTTTAATTTCCCGAGCAAGAACACTTACGACTGGGCCAGGCCACTGGCGTCCAAATACAGAGCAACCAAAGCAGCCCCAAGAGGCAGGGGAGCTGGGGCCCTGCTGGAGCGTCCAGCTTTAAAAGCTTCTTCAAAGAGGTGATAAAGCCATAGGCTTCAAAAATCAGGCTATATAAAAAGTCTTGCTTCCCTCCTGCCCCCTGTACCCAATCCCCTCATCCCCTGCAGGGAACCACCTTTATTGGGTTTTGTGGATTTTTCTGTATTAAGTAGCCATTAGGATGATGGCTGCAACTCTTAACAAAGGAGAATTTGAGAACTACTTGGCTACACGTGCTCTAGGATTCTGAACTTAAAATGATGCCCCACTTTTAATAAGGCCAGGAAAGAGGTAGCTTCCAGACTTCTAAAGTGAGAACTCTGACTCTGTTCTTGTTCCACTGTCCCACAGACCGGCCCAGAGGCTCCATCCCACAGGGGGCTCTTTGTCACGGCTCCCCTGCCATGTGCATTTGTGACGTCCACGGGGCAGGTGCCCATCTCGTGGGCTGCCAACTAGCAATTACACAGGAACTCCCCAATGTGGGCTTGGGAAATAGAAACTGACTTTAATAATGGCCTCACCTGGGAAGTCACACCTGTCCCTTGTTCTGCAGAACAAATCATACCCTCTTCACAGTTAAGCAGGAACAAGCTACTTGTTTTCAGTAATCTGGCTGCTGGCTTCCCTCCATTAACGCAGACAGTTTGGACTTGGCCAAAGCAGTGCCTGCCTTCCCTTGGCCGTTGGGATCAACAGAGAGAAAAGTCTCTTTCTTAAACTCTCTGAATAGACAAAGGAGGTAAGGATCTGGCCTCTGAGAACCAGTCTGTGCAGACCGCACCCAGCCGTTTGCAGAGTGTCTTGCTCTGGGCCCGCGGGAAGCTGCCTCCCTCAGCTCCAGCCCACCCCACGCAGCTTTATGGTCTGCCTGCCAGGCGGCGTCCCAGCGGCCAATGTAAGCAGATGAGTCTGTGCCAGCGTGGTCCCTCCTGAGGAACTGTTCTGCCCTGTTCCCCACCCCAGGAAGGCCTTCATTCGGACGCTGTTCTCCTATGATGGTTCTCGGTCTCTGGCCCTGGGCTCTCGTACTGGCCGCCTCCTGCGTGTGTACCGTGACTGGCATCGCACAGGTACACACACCTGGCCTTCCCAAGCCTGGGTGCTGGGCACTGTTTCTGAACCCCAGCCCTGAGCTCCTGGCCTGCCATCTCTGGTATTGTTTCTGGGTCCTAAGGGTTCAAGGGATCAGTGGGGAACTTAAGAGCTTGGATTATCTCCCCTCCTGTTTTGGAAGCCCTGAGCCCAAGGTGACCTCCACTGACAGGCCCAGGGATTGTCCTCTGGCCTCAGCTCAGCACAGCTCAGCCCTGGGGCTCAAAAGTGGGCCGGGGCTGGGCCTTCCCAACGCAAGTGGGTACTGATTTGGGGCCGAGCCGTGCTCTACCTCCACCTCCATCCTTCCCTTCTCCCTCTAGTTCCCGAGCCTTGTGCCCGGCACCCAGAACCAGCCCCACAGATTTCTTATGGGGCTCCATTTCCTCACTTTCTCTGCCTCCTTCTTGAGGGCCAAGTCCCCCCCAAGTCATCTACCTCTGAGGACCCTGCTGAGCAAACACGTTCCCTCCCTTCTCCAGCATCTGGGATGGTGATCCCTGAGGGGTCAGTCTTATTTTGCAGTCTGGTCACCTGCTGCTTTCTGTTTCCCAGAAGAAGGGAGACACCGAGGCAAACTGACCATGTGAGGAAGTGACCACACGAGGCTTCAGCCTCCTGACTTTTGCACCGTCTCTCCCTGTGAGGACTGGCGGGCTCTTTACCAGCACTTCTAGCTGATGCTGCCCCCTCGGGGCTGAGAGCCAAGCCCGGGAGCCTCCCTCTAGCCTTGGAAACCAGTCTGCACCTTTTCTGGGGACGGGGGGACAGGGGGACGGGGGAGGCTTCTAGCAGCAGTCTCCCTGCCCTCAGCTTTGCCCTGATGCCAGGTTCAGAGGGGGCCCTTGCCAGTGACACGGGGCGGCAGCCGGGGACAGCTGCTTCTGCTCCCACTGCCTGGATTCCTGGGGCAGGTCCTGGGTCCTCGGTGTTGGTGCAACAATGCGTGCGTATCTGGGGCACAGCTCCCCCTGACTTACGTCTCCATCATGAACAAGGTTTGCTGAGACAACACTCACCTGGCTGGACTCAGTCCCCAGGGGGGTGTCACACTGCGAGCTTCCAGCCCTGAACTAGTCTGAACAGATCTCTCAGAACCAACCGGAAGTCTGTCTCAGAGACTGGTCAGTTCTAGAATCATCTTAGAGAGGGGGCTCTGGGGACGTCGGTGACTTGCCCTGAGGGTTCCCCTGCCCTTCTCAGAGCCTTTCCACCCCATCCACCCGGCCTCGCCCCACGCCTGGGCCGGGCCCGGGCTGGCGCTGGACTGCCGGGCACGAAGCGCTCTCCTCAACAAGCCGCGCTCGTCAGCCTGGGCACGTGCCGTCCACTCGGCAGCAAATGACCAGGGACTTCGCAGGAGCAAGCCAGACTGTCCCCGGGTTCCCCCAGCAGCCCTCCTGCCTGGTCGGCCGCGGGGCGACTGCCTGATCCCTGGCCGTTTTCCACAGACACCGCCTCAATCTTGCCCCCATCACATGTCACGTGTGACGGATCCGCTGAAGGGCAGGAAGCACTGCTCTGCGTGCGGACACACACGCACGTGCACACACACGCACACACACACCTGTTTCTCAGGATCTCCATGCACTGAATTGCTTGTATGCCTAAAGCACCAAGGAGCTGCTGCTGTGCTGTGTCTAAATAGCCCCCTACCCCTGCCTGCCACACACACACACACACACACGCGCGCGCGCGCACGCGCGCACACACAAACTCCCCTCCGCCGCCCTTGCCGAGCGCTGCCTCGTCCAGGCTTCTTCCTCCTCTTCTGAACCTTCCCGTCCGGCTCTGGGAGGCTGCTCCCCGGCCTTGCCTGTGCCCCGGAGACAACGTCCTCTCCCTTCCTGCCCCGGTCCCTCTCCCTCTCCCTTCTCAGCATAAGAGTCTGAAGCTACCTCTTCCTGTCCCTTCATTAACCTCACCTCTGCCCCAGCCTCAGCTGTTCATTCCTCTCTCACTGCTTCCTGTTAATGCATCCTTTGTCATCATCACTGTGGTCCTGCCATAGTTCCAGAGAGAACACGGATTTGTTTTGTCTCCCTGATAGAGCGTAAATTCCTTGAGGCTGTTTTTCAGTTTCTATGTTCTGAGTCTCTCTTTCTGCACGGAGACTTGTGGCCTCCTGCTGACATGGTTCCTGGCCCAGAGCTTTTGAGTTCTCAGCAGAAGGGCGGGTCCAGCTCCCGGCCACAAAGCAACTCTCCTGTCACTGACCACTGTTGGTACCAGCTCACTGGCTGCAGGGCTGGGAGACGAGAGGAAAAGCACAGCAAAGCATCTCTGTCGTTTGCAGAAACATTCCCACCACCCACGGGAAGCAGTGCCAGGCTGCTTCCACAGGGGCAGAGAGTGGGGGGCGACAGGGGGCCCACACTTGGCGGCCTGCAAGGCCAGAGGTCAGTTCACACCCCATCTTGCCAACTCTTCTGGGGAAAAGGTGTTGACGGGGCTCTGGGGAGGATGCCCTTGGAAGATTTTCCCCAAGGAGATCACAGGTGGGGTTGCAGCCAGCAGCCTGGGAGGAAGACGCTTACCAAGATGTTTGTTTTAAACAAAATTAAAGTCCTGTCTAGACCCAATTCCTATCTGTAGCTGGTGGTGGGTTGGGAGACAGTGTGACGTGGCTCACGAGGCAAAGTTCAAAGATGGCTGAAGGGGGATGAGGCGTTCTGGAGGATGAGGGGGACGAGGGGCAGCAATGGTGGGAAGGTGACAGCTGCCCCTGGGGCCCAGCTCTGAGCATCTTGGGATGGGTAGCACCAGACACATCCTTTCCCCCTGCAGAGGGGGCATCTGGGAAAGACGGCAGCCCCTCGAGAGAGGGCCCAGCCAGGTCAGAAGCCAGCGCAGTCCTCTGCCCTCAGAAAGCAGGGTGCCCAGGGCCTTGAGGGGCCCAAGTGGCGTCCTCCCAGATTCAAGTCGGCAGGCATTTCCCCGGTGCCCACCCCGTGCTAGTGCTCAGGGCACGGAGGCTGGGGGCGGGGCGCAGGGGACACGTCTCTGCCCTCAAATAAGACATCTTGCTGAACTTACACTTCAGTGAGTTTCAGAGCAAGGGCAGGGATTCGAGCGCGACTGTCGTGGTGGGTACACCTGCCCCTAGCCTGTGAGATGGCGTTCTTCCAAGGCAGGGAAGGTGACTCGTGGAAGACACATCTCCACACACATACACCTCTAATCCGAGACCGTCGCCCAAATCCTGGGCAGAGGGTGATTTAGGGCAGCAGAAAGGTCCCGGTAACACCCCCCGAAATCCAGGTGCGGATCCCAGGAAGGACGGGGCTCGGCAGCAGCCTAGTTTTGGCCTCCCTGCGTCCCGCACTCGCCTGGCCAGCGCGCAGCAGCCGCCGGGTGTGCGTCCTTCCTCCAGGTCAGCAGGGGCCAGCAGGGAGCGGGGCCCACCCTGCCTGCTGAGAGCGCTGGCAAGTCTCTGTGACAGGCTCCTTTCATACCTGACCTCCTTTCCTTCCCAAACCCTCTTCCCTTCTGTTTATTTTGGTTACAGATTTATTAGACACACAGTTAAGTGCCCATTTAGCTCTGCAAACTGTCATCACGCCTGCTTCATGAATAAGATCATTCACTGACAAAACCCTTCAAACATTTTTTAAGAAGAAGGTGGGGAGGGACGGGGGAAGGAGAGGACGGGGAAAGAGCGCCCAGGGCAGTGAGGGGGCCAGGAACAACCGAAACTCAAGGGCCGCCTCTCC